CCTAGTATGAGAGCCTGTTCTAGTACACCCCCAAAACAAAATCAAGACTTTGTAAAAGAGCATAATAAGACCCCTTTAAAACCATGGCTGAGGGTGTGGCGACAAATCTTTCTTTCTTTCTCTCTTCTGACAACAGTAATCAAGCTCTCAATATTTTTTTTTCTCCTTTGGAAAGTTTCATACACGTTATCGTGAATTTTTTTGGTTTTGTTTCCGTTCACCACTATAGAAGTTAGCTATGATGACTGCCGGTTATGAGAACCCCAGAAATGTGAAAAGGGTCTATAGCAGGGTTCCTCAAATCTTGCCCTGGAGGGCCAATGCGCTGCCAACCCTGATCAAACTCACCTACCTGTGATTTTCTAATGATCCTGAAGACATTGATTAGCATGCTCGGGTGTGTTTGATTAGGGTTAGAGATAAAATCTGCAGGAAAGTGGATCCCGTGGGCCAGATTTGAGGATCCCTGGTCTATAGTTATGCTGTTTTTAATGTCAAAGGTCACAAATCAGAATCTTTTCCACAAGTCTTTTTTTCTTGTCTGTTTACAGGAAGTTGTGTGCAGGTACAATTTGAAGGATCTTTGGGAATGAACTTGGAGTCCATTGGAGTGCTCAGGAAAAATGTTCGGAATGGAACTGTGTATAGCTTTTTTCTTCACACTGCTCTTTTGGCTTTGTTAAATATGTTATTTCATAAAATAAGGTATGTTTCCTAATAAACAGTGCACAAAATAAATATGTATTGAAGACAGATGTGAAAAAAGCCGCTTTGGTTTTTGTAAAATTTTTCGCATTTGCAAAACCCTTTTTTTTTTTTTTTTTTAAGGAAGTGCCTGCATGGTTATTCTGTGCACATTTCTTTTTTTTATTTAAATTCATTGTTCATTTTGTGCTTTCATTGTATGTGCTTATACAAATGTAAGGCATTGTCTGTTTGCTCATTTTTTTGTATTGCATCATTTCACTTGAGCAATTATCTACGGCTTTAACTTAAGATTCTTTGGAGAATTAGGTGTGTAGTGTTCTGTTCTGCACAAAATTGGTCAGACTGGATCCGTGAGGGTTGGAGGATGGGGTGTGTCTGTTCTGGTTTAAAAATAAAAGGTAGACTAGACGAGGAATGAAGTTTTATTGTCAGAATGTTAAAGGTCATGTACTGTTTGAACAACCATTAGTCTTTGTCATGTATTTGGAAGATTCAGTGTAATTATTAGCAGTTACTTGTATTGTGAGCTTTGTAGTAACACTAAATGGACTGTGTATTTGTCTAGGTGCAAAATGGTCACATTCTTCAGTTTTGTTAACCTGTTTATCCACATTCATGCCAATTCCTGTCAGTCTCTACGAAAGTCCTTTGAGTCACTCTTTAAGGTTTTTAAAATTCACCCTTTCATTTTATAATTGAAGAAGTTGCTTAATGCAGTTAAGGTTCTGCTGGGTGGGAGCCTGTGCATGTTTACGGTACAAATGATACTATCTTTCTTCATAGTTGCTAATTTAACTGTGTATTGTTAGAACAGGACACACAAGCTTGTTCTAATGTGAACAGTATTTACCCTCCCTTTTAAAAGAATACACGAAACAACAGACTTTCCAACAGCCACAACAGAAACCTGTAATTCCTGATTATTAAGAACAGAAACATCTACATGGCCATGCATTTTTTTTCAAATTCACCATGAATTAATTCCTGAAAAAATAAAAATAATAAAAATAAAGAAATATATAAACAAACATAATTTGGTGCAATTGATGTTCATATGTCTTTTTAATGATTGTTATTTGTGTTTGCTCAGGATTTAGCCTTTTATTAAAATCTAGTCTTTTCTATGATTTTGCTTTTTTTCCCCCCAGTTAGTTTTTTCACTGTATACGTGATGCAGTGAGTAAAATGAATGATTAATATATGAAAATAAATGATGTGATGAGTTTTATAATGATAGTAATTTTCTTTCATATACCCCTGCATTCAAAAGCTTGGGGTTAGTAAGATTTTTTTTCTTCTAGAAATTAATATTCATCCAAGTTTGCATTAAATTGATCAAAAGTGACATTTACACATGTTTTTTATTTTAAATAAATATTTGCATTTTATATTTATCAAGGAATCCTGAAATAAAAAAAATGGATCCCACTTTCTACACAAATAGCACTACTGTCTTCAATGTTATTATAATAAAAAAAATTAAATAAGAAACAAAAAGGAGCTTGATACAAGATTTCCAGTGATCACAGGAATTGATTCATATAATTTATGAACAAATTAAAAAAAAAACTATTGTGACTGCCCCTGCATTTAAAGAAAACGTAATTGTAGAAAAAATTATTTTGTACAGTCACATGCATATTATAAAGCAGTGAATGTGAAGGCTCAGCATTGGAATGTGTTTTAATGGTTTATGTTCTTTGTTGATAAATGGCCAGGCCAGTCTTGCTGAGCTCTCTGATGTGCAGCTGTCTCTCCTGCTCCAGCATCCTGCGTAACGCTTCTCTCCGGACCTGTAACAACACCACACAGGATATAGAAAACCATTTCCTGCTGCCAACACTATCAACAACATTTACAAGTCAAAGCAAAATTTGAATCTTCTTTTAAAGCAAATACCACACAAAAAGCTGAGACAACTAGAATGTTGGGAAAACAAGTCCCATAACAAATATTTAAAAATACAATACATAATTACAATAATAAAACATTTAAACTAATTTTATATGCTATTATTAAGTATTATTATATAATAATTGCCATTGACTAAACTGTATGTTTAGTTTTGTTTTAAAGGTTTAAAGGTAAATGCTCTTTTTTATTTGAACAATAGTTAACATTTATAGTTAACTAGCATTTATATATTTACAGTTCAAATGCCAATTTGTCATACACTATATGGACAAAAGTATTGGGACACCCCCTTCTAATGAATAGGTTTGACTACTTTAGTAATGATTCAGTCAGTGTGGAAGAACTTGACTGGTCTGCACAAAGCCACTGCAGAAACCCAGCTGAACACCTCTGGTGTGACTTTAAATGCAGGTCTTGAGCCAAAAACACATCACCAAACACCAATGACTTGTACATATGGGTACAGTCACTTTAGACACATACAAAAAAGTTGCAGCAGAGATGGAAATACAATTTTTAAATGCATAAAATATTGTTTCCATCTTTGTTGCCACAGTTTTGGAAGTGCCTTTTTCTGTTCTAAAGAAGGGGGTGTCCCAATACTTTTGTCCATATAGTTCATTTGAAATGCATAAACCTTAAAAACGGACATCAACAGTTCAACAAGCACTAAAATTTGGCACAATCACCCTGTTAGTTATTTGTTCCAGCTCTCTCTTTTAGTTATTTTGTTAGTTTGCGGTCATAGAAGCTAGATTGCTACAATAAGGATGAGCCCTCAAGATAGCTCTGTTTGTTATGGAATCACTTTTCCACGACATTCTAATTTATTGAGATGCACCTGTATTTCAGGGCTCTATCAGAACTAACTTCCTTCTGGCATTCAAATAATCATCCTCTCCAAGCGTAATTAGTAATTTGACACCTGCTGTTTGTCTTATGCGACGGTTTGTTTATCTGTGACAGGTTTGTGTCTGCAGCCTACAGCAGGTTTTATGTCTTTCTCTATAGCTGGACTAAATAAACCTGCTCACTGAAAATTATTATGAGAAAATAGCAAAATTGGTTTTCAAAAGAAGACACCTTTGAATTTCGACGATCCAACAGAACAGCTGTATTTTCCGTTTCAATTTGCTTTTACGCTCGTGTTCTTACACTACCCCCTACTGATGATATACTGCTATTGCAACTAAAGAAACAACGTCATTAATTAACCTATATCATAAAGTTAAGAGTCATTATTTTTTACACTTATTTGCTTCATACATTCCAAATGAAGATTTCGATATTTTCAGATAAACAGTAGATATTTTCAGGAAAGTCCCATTGAGTTGTATTGTCTGCACTGACCATAGTGAGAGAGGTGTTCCACAACTCCATCTCTCTCTGTTGGATCCTCTCTCTGCGTTTCAGGGCTTTTTCATAATAATTAAGGCCAAGGCACTCAAATTCAGCCTTCAATATCACACTCTTGACTCTGGAGCAAGAACATAGTGTCAGTGCAGGACATATTCACTGCTGCAACTCTAAGGCAAAGGGTTTAAATGATCCGTAACCTAGATCATTTTATGTCATAATGTTTCTTTGTTTTAAATGTGATTAAATTTTGTGATGAAGATTAAGATTAAGCACACCTGTCCAGCTCAGCAGTTCTGTCAGCGATCTCTTCATTTTTCTATTAGAAAAAGAAAGCTGTTAAAAATAAGAATATACACATGTAATTGTACAAGGGTTTAAACCTGAGAGTCTGTGTAGGAACTCCAGGGGAAGATAATGTAAATCATATACAACTTACATTTTCATAACATGTAATTATGTTACATACCGTTCAAAAGTTTGCTCACCGGACTGCATTCAATTGATAAAAAGTAATGTTGCAAAATATAATTACAATTTAAAACAACGTTTTTCTATTTTAATATATTTTAAAATGTGATGTATTCATGTGATGGCACAGCTGAATTTTCCATTCTTCAGTGTCACTTCAGAAATAATACAAAATTATTTATTATTATTATTATTATTTTACTACTACTACTACTAAGCATTGGTACTATACAGTTATAATAGATGCACATGAACAGCATTTCTGTACCCGCATTCTGTCCCTCTCTCTCTGCACAAACTTGTTTGTTGAACGCCGCGCCTCTCGCCCAAACATGATTGTGCATCACAGGCAGATAAATAACTACTAAGCGTAAAATTACAAAAAGTAAATTCCAGCAGTGGGTGAGCTGAAATTACTGGAACCACAAAGTTGCCGTGGCAACAGACACACAGGATGTTGTAACAGTTCATCCCACCAATCAGACGTAGGAATCTGCGTCACGTGGTTAGAATGACACGCGTTTCCACTCCGCGTGCAAGAACTGGCCAATCACCGATGACATCCGTGAATCTGAAAGTCACACTGTTCTGTTCAACGGCTGGTCTTGTATCTTCACCTTAAAGTTGGCTGTCTTTTTATACAATATTCTATCGATAATTGATCGATAAAGGCTTTCTTTCATATGTTTTCCGACGTTTTTCAGTTTTTAGATTAAAACGAACTGACAGTCAGCGTGTGTGGAAATGCCTTCAGTTAATTGCATCATGTACAAGAAAGTCATATTCATTTGTGGCAATTAGACACTAAGGATTTTATTCTGTCCAGAAGACTAAGACATCTGCTACATTTGGTTTGGAGTGACAGCCACAGCATTCCTCTGGAAGAAGACTGATTTACAGTCATCATGTTAGGACACCTAGCGAGAAGACTTGGCCGCATGCAACAGATCTCTAATGGACTGAAGGGAATCCGTCTTCAGCAGCTGCTCTCTAAAGAGACCCACAGGCACCTGCAGACCTCACTCGAGACCATCAGACCCATCTCGGTAAAGTATTCATTCTTTCATCGGTTTTGTATTGCTGTTAATTCACATTCATTCTGTAGTCATATTAATAGACTGGTCTTGTGTGTAGTGCTTTGTTTTGTGTGCTGTCATGAAGGGATGGTTAAAGTTTTTAAAGTAAGTTTCAGTTTTATTTCAATTAATAAAAACAATTTTTAATAGTTTTAGTTAACAATAACAACACTGCTCTAAACTAGAAGAATATTACTGTTTAGCCTTAATTATTTATTATTATTTCAGTTTTAGTAATCTTAGTACTTACTTCAGTTAGTCAGCCAAGGCAATTTTTCTATTTTTCGTCTAATATTTGTATTTATATTTTTTGTATTTCAACTTAATTTAAATGAACAAAAATGGTTTTAAATACTTTTAGTTTTAGGTAATTTTGTTCAGTTGAAGATTCTGTTAGGTCATCCCGGCCCAGGAGGACAGATTTGATATCATTACGTCATCGCGAATGACGTCAGTACGTTAGGGCGTAAAATAACAGATGAACCGGTTTTTTGAACCGGTTTATTGAAACGAACTGTCCGAAAGAACCGGTTCGCGGAAAAGAACCGGACTTCCCATCACTACGCAACATGAGCGCTAACTCCTCAGCAGCAAACACACAATCAAACTTCTGACTAATTTGCATTATCTATACTGACAGGTGATACAGCCAATAGGAACAGAGAATACGTTGCTTCTGACATATGATTGGTTGAGCCAAACGTAAGAATACTACAGTAATAACACTGCTCTAAATTGAAAGAATAGTATATATTAATAGTATAGAATAGTATACATGTGTCGTGACTCGTGACCCTGGACCACAAAACCAGTCATAAGGGTACATTTTTTAAAAATGTAGATTTATACATATTATGGAATATTATCAATGGAAAGCTTATTATGAAAAAAGCAGATTATGATCATCTGAAAGCTGAATAAATAAGCTTTCCATTGATGTATGGTTTGTTAGGATAAGACAATATTTGACGCGAGATAGAACTATTTGAAAATCTGAGGGTGCAAAAATTGCACCCTCAGAAAATTGCCTTTAAAGTTGTCCAAATGAAGTTCTTAGCAATGCATATTACTAATCAAAAATTAAGTTTTGATATATTTGCGGTAGGAAATTTACAAAATATCTTCATGTAACATGATCTTTACTTAATATCCTAATGATTTTTGGCATAAAAGAAAAATCGATAATTTTGACCCATACAATGTATTTGTAACGTAGGAGGAGTCGTGACAGTATTGTTGGCTATTACTACAAATATACCAGTGCTACTTATGACTGGTTTTGTGCTCCAGGGTCACATATATAAGAATAGTATTTTAATGTCACTCTTTGTCCAGACGGTGTCGCTGTGGCCGTTCTCATCTCAGCCGCGGGACTTCAGCCAGCCCAACTCCTCATGGAGTCCAGAGATGCGCAAGGCTTACGACCACTATAATGCTCTGTGTGACACTGACACCGAAAATGGTGAGGAAAAAAGGGGGCCGTGGAGGAAGTTGCCCAGCTACAACCGTTCCATTAAATATGCTACTGGTAAGCGATTAATATGTATTTGCATAGTTTCTTCTAGTCACTGTTATCAGTAAAATAAATGGTGTGATAATGCAATTTAGTGTAAAAGAGAATGTCACATTGTTTCTGTCCCATAGGCGGCATTCACCTCAGCAAACTGATCCAGGCCAAAGCTCGACTTTTCACGAGAAATGTTAAAGAGCAAGGCGCTACGTTTGAGTATATGGTGTTTGTCAATAAGGAGGAGAAGAGATGTGTTTGTGTCTTTCAGGCAGGACATTTACTAGAAGGTGCACCTGGGTAAGGAGCTGCTCTATTCTATGTGTATAATATACCTGTATCCCACATTTTCATTTATAAAGAATGGGTGAACAGGAGATGATGTTACTCCTATTTCCTGTGTGGCAGGCATGTACATGGTGGAGCCATAGCCACCATGATTGACACAGTGACAGGTACTCTTGCCGGTTTCCTCTCGGGACCAGTTATGACTGCCAATCTCAACATAGACTACCGCAGGTGAGATAATGTTTCAGTACTTAAGTCTTTCAAATACAGTTGCCATTATTTTTCCAGTTGACACTGGCTTAGATCATCTGTGATCCCACCTGATAAACTCTGTTCTCCTGTACAGTCCAATGCCTCTGGGTAGTGTGGTTTTAATCCACAGTGCTCTGGATCGAATAGAGAGGAGGAAAACATACATCACTTGCAAAGTGACCAGCACTGATGAGTCCAAACTCTACACAGAGGCCACAGGTACAGAACACAAACACGCAAACCAATATCATGTATGTTTGTATGTGTGAATTATAAGTGTGAAAATATGCATGAATGTCAGTGTCAGTCACAATAGTGATTTAAGTTTTTCATGTACAGTAGGTCTATTCAGCTAAAGCATAGTGTAATACAGATTTTGTTGTTATTTGATTAACGTTAAGGACATCGACAGCAGGTATAATAGGCTGCTTTAACTTGAAAACTTAATACACATATCCAATGGAATGATACACATTTAATTTTATCACAGCTGTTTATCATCACTTAAGATAGGCCTATAGCTAACTGTGATTACTATAATACTCACCAAGACAGGGACTTTGTCATCATTTTGTGTGTTTTCAAACACAAGATAAGCAAGATAAAGACGCGAAAGAGAAGTTCAGCCAAAAATAAAAATTCTGTCATAATTTACTCATCGTCAGGTTGTTCTAAAGCAAGTTTCTTTCTTCTGTTGAACATAAAAGATGTTCTGAAGGATGTGGATAACCAACGGTTGCTGGTCTGTATTGACTCCCATAGTATGGAAAGAAAAATACTATGGATGTTAATGGCTACCAGCGACTATTTGGTTACCCACATTGTTAAATATATCTTCTTTTGTGTTCAGTAGAAGAAAAAACTCATAAAGGTTTGGACCAACAAGAGGGTGAGTAAATGATGAAAAACATTATTATTGGACTCTATTAGACAGTGCATGAGTACTGATTTGAGTTCTTTTTCACATCTACTTGCGCTTAAATGGTTTAATAATTGCTTAAATTTTTTAACTGGCTGGCAATACTTAAAAACACAAGCAAATGATAAACTTTCATGATGGCGCAGCACTGGCCGATCGGCCCAGTGACAATTACATAAACAGTTCCAAGAGTCTTTCATGCTGACCCTTGCCATCAGACAGTCCTGCATAATTATGTACTATCTTTAATTCTTAATTTTTCCTCACACTCTCTTTTCCCTCATCTTTCTTGCCTTGCAGCTCTATTTGTTTCAATAAGTGTCGGCCATTTATTTGGATCACGAAACTGAAAGCAGTCTGGAATCCACCACTGAGACATGTACAGCATGTGAGTGCATATCTGTATGCACATGAATGAGATTGCAGATGGAGTGTGTGCGCAATGAACAACAGATCAAGCTACTGTTTTACCTCAGCTCTCTGAATGAGCTATTCAGAAATGCATGTATTTGAGTGATGCACTCAGTTACATATGGCTGCCTCGTATTTTTATTTTTAAAATGAAAATTTATTAACCTGGTATATTTATTGACACGGTATTTGATTTTTTGTTGCAGAACTCTTTTTGTTACTAACGCTAACTTTTTAATCATCATGGTGACAGTTAGGTTCTTTAGTAGGCTATTACAAGTATTATATAACGAAAACTTCTGTAATATATTTTAGCAGTACTGTATTCCATATTGTGTTAAAGAGAATCTGACTTTTGTTACAAATGGAATATGCATTTAAATAATATTATATCTAGTTATAAATAATATTTATAACGGCCTTCATTAATGCCATTAAAGTCGGTAATCAAAAATTGTGTGGTTGTTTTAAAATGTCCTTTTGTTATTCAGAATATTGACAAAATTGAAACATTGTAGGAATTAATGCATTGATATCATCCTCATCATCTGTATATATTATCTTTATTACCTGTTAATTCATCTTTTTTTGGCGGACTGCACGTTCTCAGCATGTGGATTTAAAGTAAAATGTTTATTTTTTATTTTTTTTCAGATTATTAATAATACTGTCATTATGAATAAGATCGGTTGAATTTATGCATATTATTTACATATGTTTATTGGCCGGGGCAGGCTCAGGGCACATAAAAACTATCTGGAACTAGGAAGGCCTCAGGTGTGCTCTGAGACTGAGGCAGTGAATAGTAACGTCTGTGGCAGGAGTGACAGTAACCTCTAGGCCCCAGCTCTGGAACCCTTTGAGAGGAACCTTCTTGGATCATTTCAGGTTCCATTCACAGCTGCAAAAAGAATGTCTGCAAGTGGACCAAGAAAGAGATCTCTGGGACCAGAGTGGCCTTGGTGCCGGCCCTGCACTGAGGATCTTTGAGTGCTGGGATTTAGACAGTTTCCTTTACACTAGCAGTGACAGCACTGGGAAGGCCCACACATTAAGCGGGCAAAAGACAAATTCTGATAAAAAATGGCAGCTTAAGTAAAACATGAAATCTTAAAGCCATCCAGCAGATGACTCCCCTCATAAATGCCTCCAAAGGTAGTGATCACCCTCAATATTCAACCTTTCCCCATTAGCTGCAGGACTTTTTTCCTTCACATATCATTATGACGCCACAATTTACAGAACCAACACATTCTATGGGGCCTCCCACAGTTACAGTCTGAGAAACATGATGTTCCACTGATGCTTGTGCAGCGTTACTGGACAGTTTTCATGTGGGAAATTCAATTGCAGCAAGTGGATATGGCAATGTTCTTTTTAGAGTTGTTTTAAACATTCTCTTGTAAGATACTGAGAGTTTTCAATTAATTTTATTTACAGTTCATTTCCATGTAAGTCTCTGTGGCTGTAAGTTTGCCGTTGTGTTGCAGGAATTGCATTGGCCTTATATTTAAGGCTTCTAAACATTTAGGACGCCTATCTGCAGTGTCGCTCTTTCTTCAGAAGATGTCGCTGTTTCCGTTCTCAATTCAGCTGCAGGTCTTCGACCGAATTTACCGAGGAGTCCAGAGACGCACTGAGTACGCCATTATAATGCTCCGTAGAGTGACACCGGAAATGGCAAGAAAAGGAGTGGGGCCGCCTGTATGTTTTAGCCAGGACATTTACTGGATGGACCTTCTAGGTAAACAAGTGCTTCACTCACTTAATTATATAACACTTAATGTAAAATAAAAATGTCAATGTGTCATTCAAAATGTTGTTGAAATATTGTAGCTCAATCTTTTAGGGTCTTAGCGCCTCAAAATATGAATGCAACAGTTTCAAGGCACAGTAAACCCTAACTAATTTGTGAAGGATGGGGGAGTCCCATGTTATGTCTTAGAACAGGAAGTGATGTCAGATGATTTTCCTGTGTGGCAGTTATTTACATGGGAGGCATAACCACTATGATTGACACAATGACTGCTGATACTTACTGCCCTTATTTGTTCAATGGTTTGAGTGGTTTTAGGGATTGAGCATCAGGGTTGAAACTCTTTTCTTTCTGTCCAGTCCAGTTCCTCTGGGTAGTGTGGTTTTCATCTACTGCACTCAGGATCAGATCTTAGAAAGTGATGAGAAACTTCCATCACTTGTAAAGTGACCAGCACTGGTGAGTCTAAACTCTATGCTGAGGTTGCAGGTAAACATACTCTCATATCTCTGTATATATTATGTAAGAAAGAAAACAAGCTGATGTCATTGATGCACTAAGTGTGAAAATATGCATTAATACACAACCAAATCTGACTACCTGAAACCACTTTATCCACACACCCACATAGACTCATTGCACACCTGTGGGTTGTTCCCATTACAGATTTCTGCCTAACACACACTTATCTGTTTGCTCTGTGCTCATCAGTCTGAACATACGCTTTTTACATCGTACACTCCATTAGAGGAAATGCATTGCGGATTTTACCTAGTAAACTGAACTTGTACCTTATCTACTTATCTCTATTTTTTTCTCACACTCGTTCTCTTCCCCTGTTTCGCTCCTGGTAGTTCTATTTGTGTCAATAAAACTGGGTTATTTATTTGGAGCACGAAGTTGAAAGCAGCCAAAAATCCACCACAGGCCATGTGCATGTGCACACATCTCTATACACGTGAGTAAGATCGCAGGTGTGTGTTTGAGGCGGTGTGTGTGTGTGTGTGTGTGTGTGGGTGTGTGCGCAATGACCAACTGATCTAGCTGATATTTAACCTAATCTCTGTGAATGGGGTATTGAGAAATGTGCACATGTAAGCACTACACCGAATCCACTCTATCGCACCACTCACTCATATTCGGGAAAAATTTGTTTTGGTTTTTTTTCAATAAACAAAATTGTTTTAAAAGCACTGTAAGCGATTTCTGCTAGAATAACGTGTAAAATGTTCCTACTACCTGACTGTTATGGCTGAAATAACTGTCCTGTGACGGTCTAAACTGAAAAACAGCAAAAAATAAATGAATGAATAAATGAATAAATTATACAGTAAAATTAAAAAATAAAAATCTATCAATCAATAAAAAGAAATGAAAAAGAAAGAAAGTAGTGAGATGGAGCTGACCCACACTTTTTTAGCCAGTTTAGTTGTCACGTTGCAGAAATTTATTCATTTATTTGTTTGTTTTTGAGTTATAGTTTTTGGAATGTAGTGTTTTCTGTAGTATTAAGAGTATTACAAAATAATATATTTATTTTTCACTTGTATTATTAGGAATTACTTTTATTTTTGTACGATTTCTTAACACTTAAATTACAGTAAAAAAAACAAAAAACAGTAATCTCTATGCACTTGTCTTTCCTATAGAAAGAAGCAAGATATCCATCGTATCCATATTGTGCTTGCATGAAATCCATTTGGTGTGAGTTTCACATTCTGCATATATTCCAGTAAAGAGAACTGACTGACACCGCAGTGTTACGGTAATGAATGACACATTGTCCACATCAGAGGAGTGTACATTCATATGTGGAGACTTTAAACTCAGCATCTCTGTGTAAATACTGCCATGCGGTGCAGTGTGACTTCATATGCCTTGCTACCACTCATGGGCATGTGAAGCTGGAGCTTTACAGATAAATATATGTATAATTGTTGTCTTATCGCCTTGTTATCCTCATGTGAATCTGACTTAGATAGATAGAAAGAAACATCTAGACCTGCATCTCTGTGGTGGCCTCTGCAGTCTCCCACAGGCCTCTCGCATATGATGTATGTAGGACACAGTCTGAGGTGGGTTTCTATCTATGGAGAGGTGTTGAGTGTCTGGTCAAGTGGGCTTTGCGTGATGGCTTCTGTGGGAACACTTCAACATAGCTCTGCGGGGAGATATTTTCCATGCGTGGTGTTAACGTTCAAACCTGGGTCTGACCAAAATGCCATTTCCATCATCTCACCGTTGCCTCTGCTGAGATCCATTTTACTGGCAGTTCACAAATTTTTGTCAAAACCTAGCCTTTACATTGACGTTGCTGAGACATGCCGGCTTTTTATACTGTTAATAATTAGAAACATAATTATACTCTTAAAAATAAAGGTGCTTAAAAGTTTCTACACAGCGATGCCATAGAAGAACCATTTTTGGTTCCACAAAGAACCATTCATTCATCTCTTTCTTACCTTTTTATAATCTGAAGAACCTTCTTTCGCCACATTAAGAACCTTTTGTAAAACAAAAAGGTTCTTCAGATGTTAAAGGTTCTTTATGGAACCATTTAGACAAAAAGGTTCTTCTATGACATCGTGAAGCACCTTTATTTTTAAGAGTGTAATAAATATAACAATAAATAACCAGCTCTCTGCTGGAGAACCCATTAAGGTGCGATCACATTTACTGTTGTTCGGCAAATTTTCGAACATGAAATAGAATCGTTTTAATAGGAATTCATGTGATCAGGAAATATTTCATGAAGGTGAAAGACTTTCTTATGCAGATTTCACATCAGGGTCAAGCTGGACATGCAAATTTGCTGCACTGACCAACAACAAGCTGCTTGGTTTTAAAGTAAGTTCTGTGTGAGCTGTGCTTCATACATCGCTTTACTAGAGGGGCCCAATGCACTATACTGTGTAGGGCCCAGTGGTGCCAATGACTGGGGGTGCTTGTGGTCATTTGCACTGTTTGTGCTGAGGATTCCTATAGTAATCTCAATTTTGGAGGACCATGACAGTTTGAAGCCCTGTCTCTGGTCCTTGAAAGTCTGGAACAGACATTCATATAATATAGATCTAAAGGGATAGAATACCCCAAAATGAAAATTCTGTCATTGTTTACTCATCCTATAGATGTTGCAAACCAGTATGATTTTCTTTCTTCTGTTCAACACAAAAGAAGACATTTTGAAGAATGTTGGCAACCAGTCAGTTGACTATACTGACTTCCAAAATATGGGAAAAAAGTACTATGGTAGTTAATGGCTACCATCAACTTGGTGAGTAAATGATGACTGAAATTTCATTGAACTATCCCTTTAATAAATTAATACCAATGCCAGATGTACTGTATATTTCTATGCCCTAAACCCATAAAATAAGTTTAGGGAAAGTGGATAAAGATTAAGGTGTACATTGATACAATGTCATCAATATTTACCAGTGGAATGCATTATAGTGTGTGTGGACACACTGACATACACTCTTAAAAATAAAGGTTCCAAAAGGGTGTTTTTCCAGTGATGCCATAGAAGAACCATTTTTTGGTTCCCAAAAGAACCTTTCAGTGAACAGTTCCTAAAAGAACCATTTTGAAGAACATTTAAAAAATCTAAAGAACCTTTTTCAACTAGAAAAAACC